CACCCAGTCTTCTGTGTGCCCGGGGGGAGTCTCTCAATCGGTATCAGCCATGGCTTGAGGTTCCTGGTTTTAGCCTGCCACTTTTGGTCTCTCACTTGCTGAGGTGTTCCTGCGAGTATCTCTGTAGATCTTAAAAAACTATTTATTGGTTTAAGGCATTGGCATGCTTGCTGACATCTGAACTAATGGAAGCAGTACATCCCAAACTGATACGTGACCAGAAGTAATTTTTTTATGCACCTACACATTTATTTATTTATTTTAAAATGATGCTTGCATAAGAGCTTTTGTGCTGCATTATATTCTCATGGTTTTCTCTATGAGCATGGGTGTCTTTTTAGTGTAATTTGGTTTTTAGCAGAAATGGTTAAACTTCCTTTTCATCTCTATATTTTCTCCATATTTAATATTTAGCTTATTTTAATATGTTAACAAATTGACTTAAGGAAATTAATTTGTAACCACTAAAATGGTTAAGCATAGGTTGTACTAACTAGTCCTCCTAGTCAAAAGTTTTGGAACCACATTTTGAATTTTCATCAGCCAAAGGAATCAGAATAGGAAGAATATTAAATAATTTTGACAAACCAATGATATAACAAAATAGAAGCAACAAAATAAACAAATAATATGAAACATCCTCTAGACAATGAAATAGTAAAACTCAAAAACAGAAATAATCAATAACCCAAGTCTTACTGAGATTTTTTTTATAGTTCCCAGAGTTCTTGTTTCTTGGAATGAAAGGGTGGTAACCAAAATGAAGATGTCCAAAATGAAGACAAAATGTATACATGTATTTATATGTATAAGGGTAGGGGTGATTCTGTTTCCCGTATTCTCATCTCATCTTTTTAAAGTAATTTTTGAAAGGAGTCTTTTGAAGGCCCAAACAAAGGAAGCCAGACAGTGCTTTGGTGGGATTGACTGATTTAAGTCCATCCCCCACACATGACAAAGGGTGGGGGACCTATAAATAGTGTCTGCCCCCACAATGTCCTTTTTCAACTTGCATGGGTGAGTTTCTGGAATGGTCACTCTAGCTTGTCAGGTTGGGAAAGCCCCCCCACCAGGTTAGAATGGGGGTTTCTCACTCTGGTAATACCTGTGATCTGGGAAGGAGCACCAACAGAATTGCATTCCAGCTGGGGCAAGCAATCAAAATAGTTTGGATTACTCTCAAGTTTGAGGTGCTGGTCTAAGGTGGTCTGTGGAAGTAGTAAGTGAAGACACCTGTCCCTTGACTATATCTATCAGGTGGATTTAACATCCCTTTTTCCTGCAGGAAAATGAATAAATAAATAAATAAATAAATAGGTCGAATAATGGCCCTTTATACCATATGTTTGTTGTCTGGCCTTTAATTTTGTGGTGGGGGTTCAAAAATGCCAATGCAACACATCACAGTGATATTCCTATGCAAAAAACTACCAAAACTTGAGATTACATTGCATGGGATAGAGTTGTTGTGACTAAAACAGTTCACATCTTAGTCAGCACGCAAATCACAGAAAATGAAATAGGAAAGAGATGATTTATGGAATACGCAGAAGCAGAAAGACTTGAACATTCAGCTCTTCCTAGACCCACACCTTCTGCTACCTGTATGGCCTCCTAAGTCTGACAGATTCCACCAAACATCTTATAAAGGTGCTGTTTTTGTGAGGATGAGGCAAACACTCTTAAATAATGGATGAGTCCCAAAGAGAGTCATGATTTGAGATGGTAGATGAGGCAGGTGTGAAATAATTTTAAAATATGAACAAATGTTTCAAAAATATTTCCCCCAACTCTAGGAAAGCTTTGATAAAACCAGACATTATGCCTAGAAGTTAGAGCTGTAAACAACAAAACGATAATTCCTTTCTCCCAATAGTATATGGATATCCAGTAAGGGTGGGGTAGGAGGAGTTCCCATTTTTTCCCCTTCATGTTGTGACGTTGACAAAATTCAGATACAGCTCTCTCCCATGGCAACTATTATCAATAAAAGTGAGGACATAGCAGTTCCACTTTCTCATGTATTTGGTCCTAGGACCAAATATTACAGTAGTGTACATCACACTTAAAGATTAGTGGAATGCTACCTACAGGCTCTATGCACTTTCGGAATTAGGTTAACCTAGACATGGGCAAACTTTGGCCTTCCAGGTGTTTTGGACTTCAACTCCCACAATTCCTAACAGTCGGTAAGCTGGCTGGATTTCTGGGAGTTGAAGTCTAAAACACCTGGAGGTCCAAAGTTTACTCATGCTAGGAATAACCTTATGAAAAGCCCTGTGCAAGTACTGCATATATGAACTGTAGATTCTGTCTCTGTAATCACAAACATATTTTATTCTCAGTTGTTTTGGTACAAACCGGGCCAACTGTTTGCATTCGTGTTGATCCTCACAAACATTATGCTGAACATCCATGAAGACCATTTATATGATCTCATTTCTAGGTACAGTCAGCCCCCCCCCCCAAAAAAAAAACATGGTTAGGGCATAGGATTCCTATGAAAGCAGAAATAAACATTAATATCTCTAAGTTCCCCAAACCTTAGCTCTTCATACTATTGACCACATTTAACAAAAAAAAGTACAGCACATATCATTTTATGTATGTATGACTTCCCAAACATTTTAGTTTTCTTTATATTTTCTAGTATACACATGTCATCTGCAATTTTCTATAGGACACTGCAAAATCCCCATATAATTATTGGTGGTAAATTCAAAAATAACCCACAAAAGTGAAACCTATGAAATTTGAGGTGCATCTAGTGAGAGTATGTCTCGTGAGAGAATTTTAATGTAACATATGTAACCTAACCTACCTTTTATGTACAGTCATCTCCCCCTATATGTGAGATATGGAAATCTCGAATTAGACTAAGCATGATATTAAGTAAGCCATAGCTATGGTCCCACAGTAACAGCATGCTTAGTTTTGTTGCAATGTATAATTTAAAGAAAGTGAGCTTAATCTGTACACAGTTTGGACGTGGTCACAGATGAAGTGGTCAATGGCTCACTCACAGAGTTCCCTGGAGTCAGCTTCTGCCACTCTTATCATTAAGAACCTCTGAAAAAAAGCAATTTTTAAGTGAGAGCCTTATGAAGAAATTGACCCACAACCATTAGCCCATCTGTAATATCCAGTATAGTCCCTGAGCCACAGTAACTGATAACATAAGAGGAGATATTCATATTATCCCTCTCCAGCTTCTGAAATTTATTCATCCCTAGCTATATGGACAGGTGTGATGTGAATTTAGGAAGATTTGCAGTGGGTGCTAAGAATAACATTGCAGGACATTCTGTACTTGAATTAATAATGCTCATTGGGTAAAAAATTCTCCTTAAATTTCAGACATAAATTAATATCTTTATATTATCTTAATAATGACACACCAGTGTCACATATGACCTCAATAAGAGCAATTGTCATTTTTAATGAAATCTGGAGGAAAAATCGAGTTCTTGTGCAATATGAAGTATGTCCCTATCTCCTACTGTATATGCCTTCCCCATGAATCCTTAATGTTCACTATACAATTGTTTTTCAGCACTCTTTTCCTCTGTAACCTAGCCTCTTATTCAATTATAATGCTTGGATGAGTCACATGCAATATTTCCAGTCCCCTTTTCCTAGCTCATGAAACTTTTTAACGAAATGTTAGCATTTGCAGACACCAGATGTTTTGACATAAGGAGAAGCAATATGCAAATTTTAATCCACGCTGGGAACAATAGCCTGCAGGCACCTTTTTCTTATTACATGAATCATATACTTAACCACAATGTGGTGGATTTTATCAGAATCATCACCATCCTGAGCATTCTACACTTGTCGTGTAGTTGCCAATTAATGAAACTGATATAGATTTAAGTTGATAGGTATCCGTGATTTAACCAATACCAGTTGGCAGACTTCACTACTAGAGCATTCTTGATTAGATTCATAGCCATGACACTAATTAGCCTCTAAACTTCCCAGGTTTGTCTCTAATCAGCATTTCCTGTCAATACAAACTTCGTTGACGTCAGATCTGATTGCCAGGGTTTTTTTTATTAATGTCATTGTTTCTAATCAGATAGGCAGCAAATAATGTTTTCTTAATGTGTACATTGCCATTTTATTGCTTCATGCTGTTTAACATTTAAGGCCCCAGTTCTCCTATGTGATGATCATTCATTGCATTCAAACACACTAAAAGACTTTGCAGATTCTACTCCCAAGTGTGTTGCCATGTGCCAGAGCCCAATTTTGTTTTCTAGTTCATCAGACTCCAAATTAACTGCAAAAGTGCTAATTAACCTCCACTGTTTGCAACACAATAATTAAAAGAGTTATAATGAAATAATTCTAAAGCAAATAAAGCTGATGTATAACTCTCTGATGTCTTCTTAAAAATTTAGTCTTTTAAAATATGCAGAGAGACTACAAAGCTAAATTGCTAAATTGTATTCCTATTTAATTACTGCTCAGCATTCCATCGTAGACACAAGGAAGTAAACATATTCTCTAAAAAGGCATCATTTAGGATTAGGAACTTTAAACACTGACGCTCAAATCCTTGCTTAAATTCATTAAACATGGGTATCTCTCTGAGTGCCAAAGTGTTGTCTAATTATCCACTTTCTCAAATGTTTTACATCCTAAAGTACAATATTCTGTTTATCCTAGATTGTCTGGGGGAAAATCTCATACATTGAAACAGTTTTGTAGAGTTTCTTCTTGAATTAACTGATAGCATCTGCCTCCTAGCAATTTTGGAACGCTTTGAAAACATTTCCTATAAATCAAAGCCTTTACAGCAGAAATAAACAGCAAGGGGGAGACAGTGTTAAATATATGATGGGAGACTACTGGATCAGGAAGTCTTATAATGGATTCAATGTCTAGCAGTTGTTCAGAGTTGTCTCTGCTATGTATTCTGTCAAATGTGCTTACCTGGTGTTACTATATTGTCTCACTGGATCAGTGTCAGCTTGAATAAAACAACTTCATGCTAACCATATCAAGATTTACTTTACTTCACAGTGGATAATTGTATTCCTATTATAATAAACATAAATATGAGCCCATATTAAAAGTGGTTTAATAAAAGATTGCATAAAGATTTGTAATAAAGCATACTTTGTTGCGTACAGTTACTTAGAAAACAAGCAATTGTATTAACAGTGAAAAATAGCAATTACTATAAAATGACTCTACAGCCTCACAACAGCAATGTAAATGTCTTCACTGATCTAAAAGGCATAACATAATTTTAAATTACAATAATTTTACATTCCCTGTTTTATATACAGCCCTGTAACAGTCAAATGCATCATAATAACAGTGTTCTTGTTAAGATTAAGTGACTGAATTAGTCTCAGTCCTTTGTAATATAAAGCAACGGCATTCTTCTTTTTTCAGTGTTTTCACTTATTTGAACATTTCATATCTACACTGCAGACCATAAACTACTTGAAGGTTTGGGTCTTTTTTATGTGTCCAAGGAGCATCTATATTCATTTCATAAATTAAACAAGATTGCAATATTTCAATTCCTCTTCTTTTTATATAATGATGAGTTTACTGCTTCAGGTATATGGGAGGAAGACGGTGAGTCCTGAACTATTAGAGGAAAAAGGGGGGGGGGTATCTATCCTTCCTGCTCCAATGAATATTATAGTGATAAGTTCCTGTGGCCTTGCCATATGAAGAGCACATGCCTATTATAAGACTTGATTAAAGCTGCATTGGAAGCCTTTTGGACATATTTCCTATAAATGACACTTGTAGCATACACTCAAATATTAATCCAGTCTACCTTCTTTTCCCATTCATGGAAATGTTCCATGAACTAAGATGGAAAACTCCATCTCTGCTATAAAAAGCTCAATTTGAGATCTCCCAGGGCTTGATCATGTGAGGTGCTGATTGTCAGTGAAATAACAAAATCCTGTAGCCAAAGGCACTATACAGATACTTAACGCAATTTGCACAGCAATTATTTTTGAGATTGGTGTCAAACATGAGTATGACCAAACATTATTAGGGTTTTCCGTCAGCATTGAATAGCTGCCCTGCCAAATGGTTACCACATAATTCCAAAGTCAGTAGGATAGCATTTCATAATGGAAGTCCTTTACAAAAAATGCAAATGAGCATTCAAAACATTGACGAAAGCACACTGTACTGTCTTGTTTCAGAAATGCAAGCAAATTTGAGTTTTTCTTGAAAAAGTCAAGAGCATTCAAAGTAATAATCAAGCACCTCCACAGAAATGGAAAGAGAAAAACATGTAACTGGTTCATATTTAATTTATATCTCTCCATTAAGAACTTGTCCACTGGTGTTTAAAAATAGATTTCCATGCAAAGTTAGTTTAAAACTGTCTGGGTCTAACTCTGTATCTTTATTTCTATCTCTGCCGTGCACTCTCTTTCTCTGTTCTTTTTAAACATCACTTAACTTTTCTTTGAGGAAAGTTGGGGGAAATGTGTGCCAGCACCTTCCCTGACATATGATAGTATTTGAAGTACAATTATTCTATTTGTTCACTCCAGGAACCCACAATACTTTCCAGAACCTTATGAGATACAAAAAATGATGTGAGTAACCCATGCCCTCTTACTGCTAAATCTCAATTACTTCATCAATCTATATGTTTTGTGAACCTCCATTACAAGTGTATTACCCCCATAAAGCATATAGTTACCCTAATAATCCACTGCAATTCCAAGGTCAACTGACTTTACCTTTCAGATAGTAAATCTAGATTAATAAAATATCAAAAGAAAGATTCTCTTTTATACACTGGAATTGTCCCTCATCCTTGCTGCTGGTATATTGTCAGTACAGCATAAAGTTTTAGCAACGGTGACAGATTTTGTACCATTCCAAATACTCAGGCAGTATATAAGAAAGTATAAGATAGCAAAGTTTACAAACTATATTTCTAACATACTATTTCCCTGAAATTATCATCATGGAAAGGAAAGGGTTTTGTAATCCCATTTTTTCTGCCACTAATGATTAGAAGAAGGGCTTCTGCATTAAATTTACTGCTTTTTGCACCCTTAAAAGATGTAGAACACATAATCTTGAAACTGCAGGGATTCATTATTGCATACTTTCTTCTGGTCTCTTTAATCCTTATAACTACCTCTCTTTGATTTTCTTTATATCTAATCCCATCTGAAATTATGAAAGAAGGATTTTTTTCCTATACTGAAAAACAGAGTTTTTAGCATTGTAATTTGATCAGAAATTCCACAAAATTCCTGCTGGCAAACACCACACCTGATAGAAGGATAATTTGTCTATGTCCCAATATGCATGCCTATAAACCCTTCAGCATTGAAGTAAGCCAATAGTGAACTCCTCTTAAAATGGGAAAGCTATTTGTAGATGCCAGTAGGACAGCAGTGCTCTTTCCAAGATAGTAATAACTGGTTTATTCCCTTGGCACCACTGGAATAATGCTTTATATGTTTATATAACTAATTCATCAAGAATGGCAATTATAAAATGTTTATTTAAAAAAACACTGCTTCGGAAGAACACCATATACTAAAAAGATGTTGTTTTTTGGGCTATGTAAAGTAATAAGTTGAATATTTTCCTCCACATTTTAAGTAACGATTTCACAGCTGTATATGAAAAACCCTATTTCAGTCTGCTAAGTAGGGAATTTCTCCAAGCTCAGTTTTGTATTCCAGCTTTCCTTTTCCTATGATGTATGCACCACTTTAAAGTGCACATTACAGAACTGGTTCTATTGACAATCTCTTACTGTTTCTTTAATTGAACTGAGCAGCAACACTATTCCAGCACCAAGGAAGTAAAAGAAAAAACCATAAACAATGGCAACAACAACAATGTAACTATGGAGTCTTTCCTGTGTTATACATCATCTCCATCATCTGAACTAAAGCTGCTCCTTCGGCTGCTCCCCTTAGACACTGCAGGAGATACAGAAGATAAGAGTGGATCTGTCCCAAAAGGCGATATGGTGTCATCTAGCAATATTTTGTCCAATCTTTGTTCTTTCAAAGCTGCACTAAAAGACAAATCTGTGAAGTGTGAGAGTGGGTCAGAAAAGGCGGCAGCAGTGTCACCGAGGTCAGAGTGCAGCTCGTGGGCCACGGGAAGATGTTGAGAGTAGTCAACTGAATTCTCTTCTGGATATGCTGGCAGTTTCATAACATGAGATGTCAAGTCTACAGTGCTGATAGAAGACATGACCGGCAGGCCATGGGCTCGGGCTTGTATTTCTAGCTCCTGTGGTGTGAGAGAAGAACATTCAAAAATCACCCTCAAATATTAGTTCTACAATCCACAAGATTAGGGCAGAAGTAAAACCAAGACCGTGGAAGGAATGGGTTACAAATAACACATCACTTCTGACAATTTCAAATACAATTGTAATTTAACAAGGAGCAACAAGGGGTAACATTTAAACTTTTGAAGTTGCTTGTGTAATTACAGTCGTGTGGTTTCTTCAAGTGATCAGTAAGACATAGCCTATAGTTCAAGCCCTATTTATTGCTTTATATTGCTCTGTTTTTCTTTTAAATTATGATTTGAGTTGCTTTTACAAACAGGAAATGAACATTGTCATTTTTGTTTAAAATAACTATACCTTAACTTGGAGGCTTTGAAATTTTAACTGTAACAAATACTTATTAAACTTACTTTTCACGTTCTACACCTGATACAGTTTTGAGATATATTTTGGCTGTCTAATTTATCTTTAATGTATCTATATGTGAGGCAGTCCTTTGTATTTTTTTTAACAAGAGGAAATACACTAGCTGCCCTCAGATGTAATTGATAAAATATGCTTCATTGTTATTAATATTTCTAGGTCACCTAGTTGGGTTGCAAGGAGAAGATCAGACAGTTCTATTTTAATTGATTACTAGGCATGTGCAAAAAAAATTGGAAGTTTTGGAAATAGTAAGAAAATTGTAAACCGGAAGCAATATTTGAAGGCTTTGCATGGCCCACACCAAATATGTTAGAATTAAAACTTACCCCATATTGTTTTGTTATAGTTTTATAAATCTCGGAAGGCTCCCAAAGTCAGTTTCATATTCAATACAAGGCAAGGAAGTAAAGCCAAAGGTTGCCCTAGTGCCTTGCCATTCCTCTGTGAAATAAATGCTGTCTCTCAGCATTAGCAGTGGGCACAGCTCTCCGGGAAATGTAGTTTGGGAAGGGAAGAGCCCTACACCAGAGAATTCAAAAGGCCCTGCCCTAAAATGCATATCCAAGACTGCATCAGCATCAGAAAGCACCAATCAGTTCATTACTTAGAACTACTTTCAAGGTAAAGACCACAGAATTAAACAGGAAATAACACTTTCAAAGTAGGAACCTATTTTCTTTATTATTAAAGATGTGTTTATAAAAACTGAAAATTTGCCAAAAATCTATGGATAGGTGAAATGTTCTGAAATTTGGTGGTCTAACAGTGGTAAATGTATTCTATTATTGCAGCATGTTTCACCTCAATAGCTTTAAAAATGAGAGAGATGGGGGCTACTGAACTTTCCCCAATTATAGTCATTTAATTATGCACAGTGACTGCAATGAAATAGTGATGAAATTTCATTATTTTCATTATAGTAATGAAATCTTCACTAAGTATACTTTAGAAACACTTTCATAATGAAGGAACAGTGCCCCACAATTTTATAATGACTTTTGAACCATTGTTTGTGGATCACATATCTCTATTTACTAGACCATAATGTTGAGTTCTAAGCTGAACAAAATGTTAGTTTAAAGGAAGATGACTTCAAATGTTTGTATATGATTCCAACTTGTTTCCATAAACTGTAGTTAGACTAATCTCAATCAGAGTTTAGACATGCAACTAGACAGCAACTAAATTTTAAGTGTCTGGCATAGTTTCAATTGTTTCAATTGTCTAAGTGTTTCTGCATGAACTTCTGCCGCTATTTACAATAGGCATTTCTGTATACATTAGCATGTGATCAAACCAAAATTGAACACCCTCAAAGCATATTTCATATATATGGTATCATGCTATACATATGTACAAGAGAATAAATTCTATTGAATTCAATGGGCTGCGTAGACATGAACCTAATTATAGCACACTCCTATGCTAGATTATACAAAACTAAGCCTATTCCAAGTAAATAAGTATAACATTGTGGGCTTAGTTCCGTATTTAAATAGGTTATGCACATGAGTCAGCCAAAATTATGCCATTTGGAGTCACATTGATTTTAATGAGAGAGTTAAGCACATGCTTAATATCTTCCATTGTAATAAGCAACACTCCAAAATTCTTAAATTTAGATGGATTGTGCTTTGCATTAAGTCCTTAGAAGTGATGAGAAAATCCTGCTGGCATTTCCACTTGCTAATTATCTACCCAAATTCAAGAATGCTATCTAGAAGCCAGTCAGATATACTTCGCCAATTAAATATGTTGTAAATCATGTGCTCAGCAATAGAAAGCCACAGGAAGATGATGTGAGACTTAATTTAATGTGGCTCAACATACCCCAAGGTAACACAATGTCATGGACATTTTTCAAATTATAAAGCACTATATTGGAGTCTTGAGTACTTAAAAATGATTTTAAACAAACAAGCTATGTTCTCTCCCCCCCCCCCCCCTAATATAAGTGAAAAATGTACACAATGACAATATGTTATCATGCTATTATTATTTTCTTGTTACAGAAAGTATTGCTGGCAAAACTAGTCTTCTAAAATTAAGAATCGTAGTCTGAAATGCTTGTGACTATGTAACACTATTCTGGATGAAGTATTTAGACTAAGATGAAAGATGATGCTAGAAGAAATTTGAAGCAGGAGAGGTACATGAGAGGATAAAAAAATCTTAGCTGTGAATAAGTGCATTCTAATACAAACCTGAATTCGAAGCAAAAGTCGCCTGTTAGCCTGTTCTAATTTCTTCTGTCTATGTTCTAATTCTCTGGCTCTTTGTTGTTCTTTTTGTAACCACTTGATATACTCCACTGATGCTTTTAAAATAGTTCCTTTGTTCCAGCGCATATCACTGTAGAAAGTAGAGATAACCTTTTAACAATTGTGCATGTCAGCAAAATTCATAAGAACATACAAAATCTTTTACATTAATATGAAATAATGATTTACATGACCATTATTCACTCTTAGATATTATTGCTTCTGAATGGAAATTTTAATAGAATAGTTAAGAAGCCTTATATAGTAAAATTAATCCCAGAATGAAAATAAGTGTCAAAAGGAAGTAATAAAGTGACTTTTTTGTGGGAGAGCTAAATGCAATATCATGATTCTACCATTACAGTTTTTATATTTTTAGTGAAAATTGCTTTTAATATTAACTTTAAGATGAAAATCTATGTGAAATATTTCTGTATTCATGAGGTGGGAAATGTACATTACTGAGAATTTAAGCCAAAATTTTGGAAGAGCCTTTCAAATATACTATTCTTTTTGCTTCATTTTCTAATTATGTTGCTTTTATGCATACTTAAATAAAAACTCTCATCTAATTTTGGTTCTCACCACTGACAATACATAGTGCACATATTATATGATATGCATAAATAATGCAACCCAGATCTATTGGTAATATACACTTGTGTGCATTGTACATTGCTCCTTAAAAAGTTCTTGAGTATGCTTCTCTTAAGTTATATCACCATTTGTACAATACTAGTATTATAAGAATCTATGAAATAACATTTGCTCACATTGTAATATACTGTCGCAAACAAGGCTGAGCATATGTACCTAGATAATATTAAAGGGACAACAGGAACAGGCTAGGAAAATATTATGGATTTTCACATAAGCTGTGTTCATGTGGGCTATCCTGCATACTTACATAACAGTGTAGATATTTGGGATAAAAATCCTGATAGCATAGTGAATTATCAAATTATAAATATATGCTTCTTGTAAGAAAACTGGCAAAACAGGATAAAAAGTGGGAGTTGGTGAGAACATCTGAATCTTCTACACTCTAGGAGATTTAATCAAGAAGTTTGGAAGATTTAAATTTGAAGGTGAAATTCATTTACTTAGGACCAGTTCAAATCCTAGCTTATGCTGTGAAGGATTTTCCATTGACATGGTTCAATCAGAATCTGATATTCTGGAAGGATGTATTTTTATTATTCCCTTATACCACTTTCCCACTCCAATGCGCAAAATACAAATCTAGGTATTGTTAAATCTGGAAAAGGGCTTAAAAATGTAATTTTTGCGTGACAGCTACCAGCATCTTCCAGATGGCAGAGAGATTCTGAGGGCTATAGTCCAAAAAACTACACTCCTATATTTTGATCTGGACTAAATTAACAACAATAAAATAATCCCAGTGTATCGTACACATAAACTTGCATTGCTTTCCAGACTGTATCATAGGGGTGTGCAAAGCTTCAAAATTTTCCCCATTGCTGCTAATGGAACCAATCTTAATAAAGCAGTTACGAAGCTTTGGAGATTCAGGTTACAAATCAAAACTGGGCCTCTCCAAATTTCTACTAATCAAAGCAGGGACTATCGGACTCTCCTAAATGGGTTACTAATCTGAGTTCTACTATATAATATAACAAAACAAACCTTCAAGATTTAAATATGATTCTCATGTTACATGAAAAGACAACTGAGGAAATATAACATTTACCTTCTCTCTGCCTAAGGGCTTGTCTACACTGACTTTATATCCTAGCTTTGACAAGAAATTACGCATGGATGTCTAGATGACATCCAGGGACCTTTCATCTGTAACACAGGATGAAACCAGTTAATCCAGTTTTACCCTGCATTAGAAGAATCTGATGAATGCTCTGGGAGTTTTGGCAAAACTCCAAGCCAGCCTTGCAAACAAGGGTTAGTGTGGACATCTGGACCATCGCTTGTTTGAACTGGCCAACTCTCCACACAGCCTGACATTATGTAGTACAAGGAAAAGCAGGCATCTTGGAGCTATATCATTTCTCGTGCTGCAGAAACTGGCTACATATCTCTGGAGTGCTCCCAGCCATTGTGTGTGACCAGGAAAAAAGAGGGGGCAGTCCCTTCTCCTTGGTCACGTGGGTGCCTTTGCTGATGTCAAATGTGCCAGCAATGGCTAGGAATTCGCTGGAGATCTCTGCCAGTTGTGGTGACAGTGCAGGTAAGGGTGAGGGTGACTTCCCTGAAAAGTTGAACTGTGTCCTGCCCAGCCGATTGGTCTGGGCTTGACTCCCATGTAGATTAGCCCTAAGAAAGGAACTGGTGGCTTTACAAAACACAGTGGCATTCTGGATACAAAAAATGAGTTGGTTTATTGCTGCTAAAGGGGTGGATTTTTACTTTCCTTTGTCTCAAACCCAACATGGCCCAAAAGGTGTTAGTGGCCTTTGTTTACATAAAATCAATCATAAAATCAATCATAAAACAGAAATAAAATTTAAGACAAAATGTAAGCCTATGATTCCAACAATGTAACTTTTCTTATTTTTAATATCTTTGGTGGATTGTGGTTTTCTTTTGTTCTGCTGAATAGCCAATAGACAACAAAGCTCTTATTGTTTTGTGCCTTCAAGTCATTTCCAGTTTAGGGTAATCTTAAGGCAAATGTCACTCTGTTGGTGAGACCACATAACTTACACAAACTACTGTATTTTCTCGAGTCTAAAGTGCACCTTTTTTGGCTAAAAGATATGCCCAAAATTAGGATGCACATTAATATTGAGTATTAGGATAATTTAAGAGCTGAGGCAACGCAAAAGGGATAGTTCCTTTAGGAGAGCCTTGAGGTTTGAAAACATGGAGCAGTTATTGAGAAAAGGGGGGGAAAGACACAAGATAAGGAAACTACTTGCTTTTAAAAGATTTTCTGCCTCCTTTTTCCAAGATTAGATCACTTCCGAAACCAAACCGAGGCAGCTACAGGATTGAAAGAGGGTGAAAACTACAAATCCTATTGGGGTATTTTCAATTTCTGGGAAAACTTTATGTCCTAACATTTTGGTTTTCAAAGAAGCAGTTCTAAGCATGTAACAATGGTAATGCACATATTTTTGACTAAATTTCAAAGAATGCTTTTTGTAGTTGTGCATTACATTTGCCAACAGATATGTTTCTTGCTTTCTGTGTTTTGAAAATTGAGGTGCACATTACATTTGATGGCACTGTAGATTCGACTAAATACGGTAACACAGTGAGTTTCCATGGCCAAACCCTGGTCTCTAGAGTTGCAGTAGAACACTCAAATCACTGCCCCACATCACCTCTGGCAAAAGCAACCTCCCTCTGAATAAATGTTGTCACGACACCACTGTAATAGGGTTGCTTAGCTCTGCATAAGTCTGAAATGACTTGAAGGCACAAAACAACATCACTAACACTCTGTCATTTTGCTCAATTTAGGCTGGTAGAAAGGCAAAGTTTAGGGGGAGGGATCCTTAGGAGGCCTATAATTGTATTAAGTTTGTCACTAGTGAGTACGTTCAAAATAGCTTGTCATGCCAAGCTTGTACTTATGTTAGCCTCATACAGCTTTATATTGTTATCAAAATCCATAATTTAATCAAATGTTTCTCAGCTTGGAGGGGAGAAAAGGCTTAAGTGTCAACAGACATTACATTCAACATATCATGCAGGATTGTACAGAGGAGGAAATGAAAGGCATAATGTTTGTGTGTGTAACCACATGGGCATCACAATCATTTAGGCTCAGTTAAGCAGCTTTAGAAATCTGCAGATGAAAGCAGAGGCAGTAAATAATAAACTGAGTAGTTAATGTGAAAGCTGCTTTAGGCATTTAAGCCACACTATTTACAACTCTATTTCCCAGTTCTATTGCAAGAGATACAAATATATCATTCACTTAAGTTTAATTGTATTGGTACCTTAAAAGATTTGTATGGTAGAAGTGGATAGAGGTGCCCATTTCACTTTCTGACTGTTTTCACCCCAACCCCTTTTTTAAGATTAAGTTTATTCCATCTTGTTTCCACATTTTTTTGCATTTTTTAAAAGTCTGCCTGTAAATCCATTTGCAATTACATCTACCTATTTCTACATACAAACATATACTTAAAACAATTTAAAGAAATGTGAAATCAAAACTTAATTTAATTCTTGTTTTTGCATTAACTGAGAAAGAGAGTTGCTTCATATTCATAAGTAAACCAACAGAATTCCACTGCAATGTTGTAAGATTATATAAGATGGCTTTTGTAAGTGCATACACATAGAAAAACAGCCATACATAATTGAAAAAGGGTCGGAATGTGTTTCTCAAGTGATAATAAATGTTAAGGAAAATTCTGGACTGATGAGAAACTGGTTTTGGGGCTTATCCTGTAAAAAATTGCACATGGACTTTTGTACAGAAAACAGAATTTTCTGCACAGGCAGCAGCATTTTCTGTGCAGAAAATAAAATAATTTAAAATATGGCATTCATTCTTCTGTGATCACGATCCAGCATATTCTTAGCTCATAACTCATGAGTACTGGTTACCTTGTACAAAAGTAGACCTATAAAGACCACCAGTTGTTCTGATGTTTGCCAAAGATTCTTATTCCATCATACATTTCCTGGTGATGCAATACTGAGCAATGCTGGAATTAGGTCAAGTGGCTACAGCTCTAAATGGCATTAACAATATAGTAAGTTCTCCACCTTTCACCTACAATGTTAAGCTGTCTTACCTAGTAGATTGTGAATAGATCACCAATAGAGTTTTCAAAAGACACAAACTCACAGACAATAGTCTCCCGATGCCTGGCAGGAGAAAAATAGTAGGGAAGCTAACTATCCAGGTTAACTCTGACATCTAGCAACTCTATTTTACTCTTTGCTCCATTTTTTGCATTTAAGATGTAGAAACAATGACAGAAGTGACAGCTGAACTCACGGATCATTAGACTTTGGGATAAGTGTGCCAAGCTCCTTGATCCGGTAATTAATGTTGTACCTTCTTCTTCTTTCAACTAGGAAAACAAGAGATGTAATGATAGCAGAATATAACAAAATGGATATATTTTATTAGTAGACTGTGAAATAGTTATGTTCGTATTCAATGCTGTACGTTTCAAAATATCACAGTCACAACAAACACACCCACAACCTCTTGCACTTTTTGAAAATACTTGACTACATGCTTACAACAAAATGACTATTGTGCATTGGACAGGCCCAACCAAGAAATTCTTCAGAATTTTTTTCCAGCATCTCTTGCATTAGGTCTTGGATCATAGCAAGATAAAAGCAAATAACAGGATTTACTTAAAGGAAATGAATGATTAAAATTGATAAAGTTATATAGTGAATAAGAGACATACTGAAGACTTATAAAACACAAAGTATTTCTAACACTGAGAAATACTAAAACCATATTAATGACAAAATGACTAGTACTAGAAAAGATGGACCCAATCAAGAAGTTTTCAGAACTTTTTTCAGGCAGAATATATTCTTGTGTTCGCTCTTATAAATTAAAAATACTCTCCCATAAATAAACCTTAGCAAAGACACAGGTAGGACATAAACTAAACTTGCAGTGTTTGGCACACTGTGGAAAAATGCTTGGAATTTATAGCTGTGCTCAATTTTGTTTTAAGAAACTCATACACCATGAACTCATGTATAAACCAAGACTTAATCCCATTAAAACCAGTGGGAGTAATGCACAACCCAATTAAATTAATATCATAAGATCAATCCATGCATCATCTCAGTACACTAGCCTCAAATAAAGCAAGAAGCATTTAGAGACATAGAATTTAGCAGATGGAACACACTACAAGCCAAGCCAGTTTGAGTTCAACCCTTGGATATTTTTCAGATGCACTGTTGTCAAGCCATGTGTTTACATTTCATTTTCCTACCTAAATAATGAATGTTAAAAATCATTATATTAGTTTGGACTAGCTCTCCAATCTGTCAATCTATTGGAAAATGATTTTAACAGGACAACACTGGTGATTATATGTTTTTAATGGTTTTCTATATGTTTTTATATTGTTATGCTGATTGTTTTTAATTGTATTTTTTATGAATATATGGCATCGAATTGTTGCCAATCTGTGGCCACTTTGAGTTGCCTTAGGGCTGAGAAAGGCAACTGTAAATAAATAAATAAATTTTGAATCCTAATTCTCTCCTCTAAGCTATGAGTTCCCTGACCCCTAGTTGGTGTCATCCGCAAATTCAGTAAGGCTGTTCTCTACTTCATCATACAGGCCCAGACAGAACATTCTGTCATCCACTGGTCACATCTCTTCAATATTGAATGGTCCCTCAATCAATTACAAATCAACCTAACATCAGCACAGTTTAGTTAATATTTTACCAGGTTATTGGAGGAACACATACCTTAGAGCAGTGATTCTCAACCTGTGGGTCCCCAGATGTTTTGGCCTTCAACTCCCAGAAACCTAACAGCTGCTAACCAGGCTGGGATTTCTGGGAGATGTAGGCCAAAACACCTGGGGACCCACAGGGTGAGAACCACTGCCTTAGAGGAAAGAATCAGAATTGAATATGATTGTGACAGATTGAAGAGCCAGTGTTTAGCAATGAAATCAAGATAAACCACATCTATGGCTTAAATCCATTGCTCTGTATACTAGACTCTGGAGCAGCATAAAACAAATTTCACCATGTCACATCTCGGCCTTTTTTTCTCCAAGCTAAACATACCCAGCTCCCTTAACCTTTCCTCATAGGACTTGGCTTCCTAACCTTTGGTCATTTTAGTCTCCCTTCTCTGGGCATGTTCCAGCTTGTCAATATCCTTCTTGAAATGTGGTACTCAGAACTGGACACAGTATTCCAGGTAAGGTCTGACCAAAGCAGAACAGAGAGGCACCATTACTTCCGTCATTCGAAACACTATACTCCCTATTGATGCAGCATAGAATCGCAAATAGAATATATTTTATTTCAGTGGGTCTATACTAAACCTGATAAACTCCATATCCAATCCAATGTATTACTGTTGGTGCCAAGGCAAGAACTGTGGATTCTTATGTATTGTGCTTTATCACCAAATAGTCTTTTAACTATTCTCTTTGCCTCTATAAAAACCAAATTTTATGCATTGATCATAAATTAACAATTAATGTTTGGAAAGTATGATGCATACTCACTGAGATTGTGGTTATCCTTTTTTTGTCTCTCCTTTGCCATTGCTCGTGTATCTGTTTCTGACAGAAAGCAAAAACCATTTAGTCTTACAGCGTTAACTCCAGAGATGTCTCCAGGTTAGAATGGGCCTTTTTCATTGCACAATGTCTCAAACAAATTTTCAGTCAATTTATGAATTTTTCAATTTACAAAACATGATTTTGCCACATCCTGCATTTCCCTATTTGCTGTTTACAGCTTGTCCTTCCAAGCCATGTGCCCTTTAAAAATGGCATCATTCAGTTTTAATTTTCAGAACCTAAAAAGGAGAACATCATATTTAGCAATTTTCTAATTTGCTGTTCTTTACATTGGGAATGAGGAAAACTTTAGACAACAGTCTAAAGTGAAATTGAGTTCTCCTTCCCATCATGCAAGAGATAATCAGATTTCAAAATACTCATGTAGGGGGCAGGGAGGAGAGAAAACTCTTTCTTTGTTCCTTTTGCATAGCATTGATAAATGGTACATGGTTGTTAGCATTCTTTGGATTAATTGAATGTAACTTTTAAAGTTGTTAATCCATTAATACGGATTTTCAATGAATAGATGCATTGTGAACCTTTGAGAGAGTCATTTGTGGCAACCTGGAACAAATTTAATGGATGATAATTTATTTATGTCATTGGTCAGAAGCCAAAATGTGTGCAAATCTGCTATGTTTCCTACAGTAATTAGGTTTGTTAGCAGCATAATGTCCAGAAAAACTGCCAGTTATAAGATGTCCAGTTACATAGTACTTCCTCATCATTTACCACATCACTCACTGCAAGAAGGCAGGGCAAGACCCTGAAATACAAGTGAGAAAACTATATGTTTGGGGACATCTCTGAAAAACAATAAGATAACAATAAGATGTAAAATATTTACAGTAGAGTCTTGCTTATCCAACCTTCACTCATCCAACATACTATATTATCCAATGCAGTCTGCCTCCTGCCCAGATCCACAGCTGTTTCAATACATTGCAATGTTTTGGTGCTAAATTTGTAAATACAGTAATTACTACATAACATTACCGTGTATTAAACTGCTTTTTCTGTCGATTTGTTATAAAACATTATGTGTGGCTGCTTAATTTGTAAAATCATAAAGTAATTTGTCATTTAAAAGGCTTTTCTTTAATACCTCCTTATTATCCAACATTTTCGCTTATCCAACGTTCTGCTAGCCCGTTTATGTTACATAAGCTAGACTCTACTGAATTTGTTTTCTCCCCTGCCTTTCTCTTCAAAATCAAAATGATTTTATAGGGACCTGAGAACAGATGGATAACATTCTTTCATCTTCTTAGCCAGATATTATATGCTGTTTTATCTCCAATGAACTGAAAGCAATGTACATGGTTCTCCTGCCCCCCCCCCCCTTCCTCCTCCCAACAACCCTGCAAGGGAGAGAGGAGAGAATAGAATTGGCCCAAGATCTTCCTGTGGATTTCATGGGCCAGTCCCAATTGTACACCCTAACTGACACTGTAGGCTTCCAATATCTATCCTTCCTTCCTTCCTTCCTTCCTTCCTTCCTTCCTTCCTTCCTTCCTTCCTTCCTTCCTCTAAATTGCTTTCACACAGTACAGGGAGAACCAGCATCAGATTTAACTGTTTGCTGGTACTACTTCACATTTCAATACTCTTGCACTGGATAATGCAAGATGCTTTCTTTTTCTATAAAGTAAAAGACAATGCCATTTATACTTGACAGGACTCAATCTCAATGTGAACCAAATAGCTCAGATCATGTATATATCTCCATAGGACAGTGGAGTTGAATATTAGATACTGTATATTAGATACTGTATATTTTGGCAAAGAATGTAATTATTATACCAGGGGCAGAGAAGCACTGGCATTCTTAGGAAGGAGTCCTTCTTGCATTATTGTAATGATCAAAAGTGGTTGTATCACAGTAAAACAAGTATTTTTTCCTTGTGCTGTAATGGGGTGCATAGGGAATCCATGCCTTGTTTCAGAGTAGAATAATAACAGGAGCTAAATTATAAGAAATTAGAAATTAAGTTTTATTTTTCCACTTCCAGTTCCAATACACTGCAATAGCAGAAGTGGGGGTGGCTTATTCTGGGGAATCAAGAGGCAAATTTTCTCCCTATTTCATTCCCGAAATGGGCCATGCTCCCAGGTGAATCAGGGCCCTTCTATACTGCCCCTATATCCCAGTATCTGATCCCAGTTTTTCTGTTTATCCCAGGTTATCTGACAGTTGGTATTCATATATTCCAGCTTAAAGCAGATAATCTGGGATCAGATCATGGGATAAAGGGCAGCATGGAAAGGCCCTACAGTTGTCTCTTTCTCTTAGGCCGAAAACAAAATTGAAATGGATCTAGAGAATTGGTCTCATCCAGAGGCCCCGGACCTGGTTGGCCAGTTTGCCCCCAAAAAATCAGTAATGGGAACTGGCAGTAGTTATTCAATTATTGCTGTTGTGACGTGTCTTGTGTTGTTTCTGATGCATTTTCTGGAGCTGAGGGTATGTGATTCACCCAAAGTCCCTCTGTGGTGAAGTGTGAGTTTTAATCTGCAGTTATGTATAATAATAGATAGGTGTTTAAAAGGGTAAGTATTTAAACTAGCATAACTGGGGGGATGGTAGCCAGCTCAACTCACTTTGAGCTGGGTTGCCATCGAAAAAGGGGTGGAGCCAACTGTCACTTGGCAGGGCAGCCATTTTAAAACAGTTAGTCTGTAGTCTGTGAACCGCAGGAAAGGCTGGCTCTCCTGTGTTGAAAACCAGGAAAGCAATCTGTAGTCTGTGAACTGCAGGAAAGGCTGGTTCTCCTGTGTTGAGGACCAGGAAAGCAGTCTGCAGTCAGCGAACTACAGGGAAGGCTGGTTCTGTTGTGTGTTGAGAACCAATAAGGTAGCCTGTAGTCTAAGAACTACAGGGAAAGGCTGATTCTACTGTGTTGAGAATCAGGAAGGTTTTGACTTTTAGCCTGTGCAGTTTAGATAGGTCGAGTTGACTTATTTATATTATTAGTCAGTGTATGAGCAAAAGGGGGAGAGAACCCTAATAAGAATATTTACTGCAACAGAAATAACATAAGGAAAGAACAAGCTTGTACCTGAAGTAATCTGTTAAAGAAAGAAACACATTTTGAAGGAAAATAAGTTCAAAACCTGTTTAGTGAAAGGAATAGTCCTCTTAAGAGTTGTTTTATGAAATGTATTAAATGTAACCTCTGAAGAAATGTGCATCTAAGAGTTAAGAAACATTGAAACCATCAAGCTTCTTCTATACTTCAATAAACTTGTTACAGTTTCTTCTAAAGCCAAGTCTCTGTTAGAAATACTTTCAAGTTAAGCCACGCTACACATTGAAGAAAGAACAAATCAATATCACAAGCTATACAAATCAATATCACAAGCTATACACAATCAGCAAAAGACTTCTGAAGCTGACTTTTTGCTTTGGTTTTCATTTCGTTTGGTCTCTCTCATCTCCTCCTCCAATTAGATCTGTTTAGTAAGTCCTTTACAAACGTTTACAAACTGGTGGCATCGTTACAAATTGGTGGCCTCTTTACACCCTCAATGGGTTGCCATGGCTGAGTGGCAAATAAAATTCCGGTCTCCAAAGCTGTAGACCAATGCTCAAACTACAACACCATTCTGGACCTCACTTATCCAATATAATGGACTTTTTCAACAATTATCTTCCTCCTTTAGGTATGATAGAAAAACACTGAACAATCCCACTACAGACCCTGTACTGTCTCCTTATTTATTGCTACATTCTACCTACAGCTTACTTACTATTTTTTTTTAATTGGCACTCGGGTCTGCTACCTATAGTGACTCTTTGAAGCCCTTTTCACAGCTACCTTCCGTTTGTCTTTGTTCACCATAATCCTGACATTCTAAAGTTCTCTCTTTTCAGCTCCCATAGATGTTGATTGTCTGATCCCTGATTTATTATTTTCCAATTGTTTTCTTTATTGGTTGCTTGGTAATAGAAAGGGGGGGTGGGTCATCTTACCTTCCACCTCATGTGGCAAAAGGGCTTGGATCAGCCTTTGTCAGAAGTTGATTTCTAAAGTTCAAGATGCTATATATTGGAATGTTTGTCTTGGTTCACATTAACCACAACTCATTATGCATTATATAGAAGACCAGGACAAATCAGTTGGTTTAGAGATTATGAGTTGGAAGATCTAGATTATAGTCTTCACAGCAGTTCACATATTAATCTTAGTTCTCTCTCACACTCTCAGCCTGATCTATCTAATAAGATTATTGTGGGGATAAAGTAGAGGGAACTGTCTACACCATCCTGATTTCTTTGGGATAAAAAACAGAAAGAAGTCAAACAGGCTATAAATTAGCCTACTAAAATAAAGAAATCAATAACATAGAGAAATTAAATACTCGAAGATTTATGGAGAAACATAGCAAGTGAGCTCTGGTTTTCATGGTCACAGAAATTACTTTAGTGTTGACAAATTCTATAGAACAGTATAAGCTTTGATGATTTGATCTATGACTTTGCAGAAGCAAAAGGAAGGATGGCTCATTCCTAAGGTAAGAAACTCTACTACAGCATTTCTTTAGGTAGCAACAGTAGATATGTCAAAACATATCCATCTTTTCCACATTAGGGCACACAGAATATTTATATGTGTGTGGGTGGTGAGAGGCAGTGACAAAGTAAGATTTTTGTATTTTATGTTTTACTCTATCATCTAGTCATTTTTTATTTTCTATACCACTACTCCTCCAATAGCTCACACATATGTGCAAAGGTGGGTTCATTTTTAATGGCTCCCACCTCCCTAATCTCTTAGTTGGACTTTCTCTGTGTGTATGTGCGTTTCCAGAAATGCAGATTGCTGATCAAATGCAACTTAAAGCAGATACTTTCACCATTGCCACTGGTGTACTGGCTGGATTTCCCCCAAAATTCCCCTCTGCAAGGCGAGGCATGCAAAAGGGACTTTGGGTGTATGTGAAAGGTTAGCTGGTCTTCACCCTTACATCACAAATAGTAATTTCCAAAGAGAAATACTGTTGTTTTCAAAATTAAAAAATGGTGCCAACATCTCAGAATTAGATTACCTGTAAGTTCTCTTTTAACTGGCAAACTAGATGAGCAGGAAGTATTGGTAAGACCCATATTAGCAGCTGGCATTCCTTGGTCACTGTTGTATATGTCCAGAAGGCTACTTGAAAGCTTCAAGAAAAAGAGAGAGAGAAAAAGAAAGTTGGGGTAAAAGACACAGAATAAATTCATGATTTGTAAGGTGAAAGGCATATGTAGACACTTAAGAACAAAACTCCTTTTCAGATGCGTATTCATGTCTTAATCGCAGCGGGAGCTACAAATATGCATCTAAAGGCAGACTTCACCCTTATCTTGTATAAAATAAAATTAAATGTTAAGGGTCAAAGACTGCCATTGTTCCATATGCAGAAACTTGAGTGAGGCTGATGTGAGTTTTATATGCAGAATGATGCCTGGTTGCGGCCCCCAATGTCTGGTTTTGAATTAATGCCATAGCATATTTTCCAATAACAGGATTACCGCAACTACACTTCAAATATGAGTTAAGTTGAAAGGGAAAATAACCTTGCTGATCTTACCTGGGACCCAAGTGGATTCTTAACTATATCCCTGAACTCAAAAATGCATTTCTCAAATTGTTTATGCTTCATGCAGCATTCAAAGGAAGAGACTTGGCAATGCAAAACATCTGAAAACAAAACTGGACAGAGCACTGGAGACCATGCTGTGGGCAACTGCCTTACAAGGGCACAGGGATAAATTAGAAAATTTGTTCTATATCTGCTATGCATGCCTAGATTTTGTAACAGGCCCTGTACTGATTCATTCATTTCTAATTTGTAATATGAAAAATCTCAAAACAGCTGAATTCAGTTTTTAGATATCGCTCTGGGTTTTCTAAATAATTTTTGAATGTACAGTGTCTTTGGTTTTATATAACCCAACACAATATGAAAACATGGCTCATCAGGAAATTCTAGACATAAAACAGTTTTAGTCTCTGAATTTTCTCTTTCCAGACATTCAAAATCCATCCAAAATTTTGAACTTACTACAATATATCCTATAGTTGGCTGACAGATGTCATAGATAACTTATCAACCGTCCCTTGTCCTGCAGTCACATTTTAGTTTTGTCACTGTTCTTGGGTAAAGATGGAAAGGGCATGAGACTGGACATTGATCATTTCCAAGTATGTGTACAATATGTTGTCCACCTCAAATAATGTACATAAGTTTCCTATTACCTCCTAGTCTTGTGTTCTTTTCTGTCAAATTGTTTTCTAAACAACTGGAAGTTTTGTTCAACTACTCATAATAATGGGAACTGGCTACTACTAAATTGTAACAATGATCACTATCTGAACTCTGAGAATCTTGAGCCATTTGGAAAACTTGTGTATTATGTATGTCCAGACAGAATCAGAATACTTTCGATTTTTTAATTAATGGAGATAGATTGTAAAGCATGTTCAGAATTTGGTCCAGTATTACTCAAGAACAAGCTATAATTAATATTTAGGATTTTAAAATGAAGCACATTTCCCACATAATCAACTTGATTTGCTTCCTAAGTGGTCAGACAAAACATTTTCTTGTTATCATATTTTTCTTCTAAAAAGTAATTCCTTAACTGAATGATGATAATTAAATTTACATGGATAATAGAAACTGCTCTTGCTTGATATCTGGAAAAAATAAAAGGAGATACAAATCCCTAACAGTACAGAAGATTGATGTCCTTCTTAAGTTTTTAGATGGTTCGCAAAATGTCCTCTGAGACAAATAAGAATTGCATAGAAATCCTTTTACAAACACATTCTATTATTTTAGTCATGGTGGAAGAGGAAATTGTTGCTTTAAAAAGTCTTTTGTATACAAGTCAAGAATATAATAAGACATTTGTTGATGCAGATAAAAAAGAGGGTGTTTAGTATCATTTGTGGCTCAAAGAAAAGTTGGAATTCCTAACCTCCAACAGTTGCCAACCACTGAAGCAGACACTGTTTCATTCATTCATTCATTCATTCATTCATTCATTCATTCATTCATTCATTCCCCTCCATATTATAAAAGGGAGTGCATGACCAACTGTGCCAGTTCCAGCCCTGATGTCTGTGCATCCATCCAGTTACTTGCAAGAGGAGCATAAGTATGCATACGATTGTATAATACAACATAATATTTTACATGTTACACATAACGTCAGCACCAGAAAAACCTGTTTGACACTGTAAAAGCAAACTAAAATGAATGCAAATCCATGAATGCACTAAGACTTACTTCACCACTGCACCACCCAATAGCCTACTCCAAAGAGTTTTCCAAGATTCCAGAGTAATTTTAAAGGCCTATGGAGGCTGCAGATAAGACAGATTATTACCTCCTGTCTGGTTCTTCAGATGTATATTCCTAAACTGTCAAGTCTATAAAGGTTGAGCATCCTTCATCTGGAATTCTGAAATCCAAAATACTCCAAAATCCTGAAGTTGTCCGTGTGGGTGCCGAAGACCCTTGTTTTTTATAGTTAAATGTGCACAAACTTCTTTTCATGCACAAATTATTTAAAATGTTGTGTATAGAATTACCATCAGAATGTGCATATAAGGTATATATGAAACATAAACGAATTTTGTGTTTAGATTTGGGTGCCATCTCCAATATATTTCATTATGAGGTACTAATACAAATATCAGTATCCCAAAATTAAAAAAAAACAAAATCCAAAACATTTCTGTATACACAAACAAAAGGCGGACAATTAAATCAAAATAAAATAGTTACAAAGACTATTAATAATGCAGACTGGAGAAGAGATAAACCGGCATTGCTAAAAATGTTTGTGAGTAGTCTCTGTAAACAAAATTGTTTCTGTACTTTTGCATTTTATTTCCTTTGATCTCACTGCTGTTTCCACTCTCTACTCCAACCATGTATCCTATTCTACCAAATTAGGATTATACCTCAGAATTAAATGGGCTGGAGCACCATGTCTTCTAAAGCAGTAAACAATAAAACTTCACTAAAGTAGAATAGCAGATTCCACATCTGTTATAGCACAATTAGAGCAAAACCATCTCTTTCTCTGAGCTGGAGCCTACTTTCCCAGGAGAATCAGATGGCATAGATTAAATTAATATCTATGCTAAAAAATTTAAAAAGACAACCAAATCAAGATCTGTGTTACACACCGAATGTCCACTATTATCTTTGTTTTCAGGATCAAATAATTTTGCTTTAACCTTTACATTCCTCAAAACAGACCATGGCTCACTAATGGAAACAAGCAAGTCTCCATTGAACACATAAATAAAAGAAGGTTTTCAAACCACTGGAAATCCAAATATACTAATCTAAATATAAATGCAAATGACTATATAAAGAAGTTATACCTTTCCATTCAGTGTATTTTGTTGTTTTCGGTGTCAGTGACCACAGATTTGCAGTCAGTTAACTCACTCTTCCCCCTCACAAAGGATAAATCATTGTGCTTAATGCTGAGAACTACACTAAATGATTAACACAGCAAATGATTACCAGGACCATAGAGTGGAACTTATAATACATGTTCCACAGGAAAACAGAATGTAACTTAACATTTGTGGGAAAGTTGGTTTTTTTTAAAAAAACTTAACTATTGCAAAACAGCACTCTTTTAGTGGATTGCTGTGAGTTTTCTGGACTGTATGGCCATGTTCCAGAAGCCTTTGACAACACACTATTTTAATATTCATTTGAATTAAATGTAGTAGTGCTTCTCTCCATGTGAAGCTTGGCTTGTCCATTTATGTGCCAATTAAATTAAAATACATAGGGATGGCAAAAAACCTATGCTAATAATAATGCCCTTTTTACATAACACTTTTCACCACCCACATCATCCCACTTTTTTCTAATTTTTTTAATGATAGAGTTGATTACACTTTATTTTTATATCTCAACCCATATCTGTGAGGTAGATTAGGCTGTAGACTAATGGCTGGACTATATTTGTCCAGCTAACTTCATGGAATAATCTCAATGAATTAATTTATTTTGCTGTCAACAGTGAGGTTAGCAGCAAAATCAGACTCATCCATGCCAATATCTGGATGCCATTTATCTATCAAGTCAAACTCTGGTTTCATCCAGCTCTGTAAATCTTTCCCATCCACATCTAGTTAAGTGATGAGATGTCAACTAGTGGCATATAGGTGTGAAATCAACCTTAAATCTTGAACTTTCCTGCATCACCAATGCAGAAGTGGGAACTATTAAAAGGTTTTTGTTTAACAACAACGTCCAGAATTCCTCCCCACTGGCTATGCTGGCTATAGCTACTGGAACGTGCAGTGTGACAACTTCTGAAGGACCTTGTGATTCTCAGCCCTACTTTAGTGAGGCAGGACTTAATGCTGTTGAGTGTTCAGCAAGAAGAATTTGCTGAACACTCCAATAGATTCAAAAACTCACTGCAGTCTAAATCAAATGTAGTACAAAATCAAATAAACCACCTCAAAGTTTAAATTTTCCTCATTATTAAAGAGGAAGAAAATATTCTGCATGTCTGATGTCAGAGGACTTGGTAAAGTGACAACTGCCCAGGAGCAAAGATAGCATATTAGAAATCTCCAATTTAAACCTCAACCATATTGATTCATTTTTAAGTGCAGCCATAATTGAGGTTGACTTAATAAAGTTTAAGACTTGAGCTATTTTCAACTTTCAAGTGGATGGCTGAAATTAAAAGCATGCTCTCATTCATTTCGTACATTAACTAAAATACAATTTGTTCAATGTTTGTTTCATTTTTCTTATCATTTATTTTTGGTTTATTCAGTATAACTAGCCAACATAGATTGGTTTAATCTTGGAAGCTTGCAGATAAACTAGAAAATATGCATTGACTTTTGCCTTTTTAATACAAACCAATCTATTGCCACTCGTGCAGATACTTCCACGATGAAATCAGAGCTATCCAAAAGTATTTCCTCTTCTAATTTTTTTTAAATGTGCTGTTTCCCTTGTACCTTGCAATTCAACCTAGCATATAAAAACTGCTGACAAACAAAAAGGCTGGGAGAATATGTCTAATCACTAGCTGTGAGTGCTTCCCAATGACCTTGAAGAAAACTTACTTGTTGATTCACTTTTCAATAACTTAACTCTTCATCTATGGCATCTCTTATCTTCAGAATAATACCAAGAAAGCAAAACTACTGAGACTGATGACACAATAAGCAGATGGATGAGACAGGAAATCTCTGAACTTTTAGGACCCTGCTATTGAAGCTACATGGAATATTACCACATTTCCTGGGGTGGAGCGTTTGATGGTAAAAAGGTAAGCAGCTTCTTCGTAACTACCAAGTGGTTTGTTTCTCTGTGCACAACCCAGAATGGGGTGAACGAACTTGTAGGGTATATCAGTGTTAGGTTGATTATTATGTGCACACACGTCTCACTTCCAGCAGACCACATCTGCCTTGTAGGTCAGTCTAGCTACACATATTTTGTTTAAACAAAACATCTACCCATACATTGACCCTTTAGGATGCCTGCTCAGACAGGTGGATTTTGATTGCTTTGGGTCTTTGTTAATTCCTTGATATGGTGTTCAACAAGTGATAGATCCTTCCAAGAAGAAGAACTGCCTTCTGTCTACATGTTTGTAAAGGTCAACTATTTTAACCCATGCCCCCAACAAATAGGTTGTGATAGAACAAAGCTTGGAAAGTTACATTTTTTTTCTGTTACAACTCTCTAAATCCCCTAGCCTGCATGTTATCTAGCTCTTCTTGATGGGAGAAGCTGAAATTTGTAGTCAAAAACAGTTCAAAACTCAGAGTTCCTCTGAGACAGCAGTCTGTGTTAGGAAAATTGTTATTTCCAAATTTGTTCATGAAGACAAGCTTTTAACAGGGCAGTACTGGAACTCTGAACCTTAAACATGGCAAAATATTGTCATGTTATGCCATAACTCTCAAGTAGGTGGTTAGCTATTTGAGAGATATGGCACAACTTGATGGTAAATTAACACTACATACCAAATGTGTGGAATATTTTATGAAAATGCATTCTCTTCTTCTGAAAGATTAACTAACTCCATCCCTCTCTTCTTTATCTACTGTCACTGTCTATTTTAATATACAGAGTGAATTGGTTAGTCCCATCACTTTTCTATTTATAAGTGACTGGCAGCTCCAGAATAAAACCTGAACACTTTAGCAAGGAATGTTTCCTTTCTCAGCTTTCACCTGCCTTTCAAAGACAGAAAGCTCAACAGGAAGGAAAGGAACAGCCTTCCGTCAGTTCCTTCTAAATTACCATGGAAAATACTTCAGCTGTATATATTCACTAGTCTCTTCAGATGCCGTTTACAGAGAAGCTCAGGAAATGGACCAACCCAAAGACAGCTATGTAATGTACAGTCTCCAGATATATCTACGGATGTTATTGAATTATCCTCAGACAAAAGCGGTGTTTAGGACAAATTAGAATAAATGAATAATAGCTCACCAATTCTGATTCATGAGTAGTTCATTTACTTAAATACCACATAATATCATGGACTGGGAAGGCATACTACTTGGTTAACATAAACTGGAGTTTTATAAGGTTTAACTAAAAAGATTTGGGTCTGTTTGATTGTTGCAGTGCATTATATCTTCATGTCTATATGCGTGTCTTGTTAGTCTCTCTTCTGGACCAACTCATCATATCAACACTGTCAAAGCCCGCACTCTTTCCCAACTGCCACTGCCCTAGCCTCATATTGAGAGAAGAATTGTATTTATTTCACATAATAGTATCCCCTCCTACTCATCCCCGAGGGCGGGGACTCATAATGGCTTACAACAGGCAACCATTTGATGCCATCAAATAGATTCATAAATAACACTTGCAATTAAAATAGTAATTAAAACATAAAATTATTAAAATATTCATTTAAAATCATGCAAATTCAAATCACAGTCCAGGTCAAACCAATTGTCAGTAACATAGGGTCAGAAGAAGCAGGCACAGCTCTATCATAACTAGCCCAGAAGCAGATGAAAGCCTCTTTCTTCATCTCAACTGCCACTGTCCTATCTTCAGAGGGAGAGAGGGAGAGATAGTTTTTCTCCCACACCAATACCCACTTTTCCATTTGTGTTATGTCTAAAGTAAATTCTAATGATCTTGTCACAAACACCACCCAAATTGATGTGAATCGCCACATCTTGGTGTTGGTAGCACAGGGGGTGTGGGAACCTGTTGCCCCATGCCCTGTTCCATCCCAGCTTTCCCCCTGCCTCATCATATGGGGTGGGGGCGGACCTGTTTTCAGTGGCTCAACCCATCTTTCCTTATGGAAAGATGGGGAGCCTTCCATTGTCTACCACCATTTTTTCAGTATGGCAGCTCTCCAGCCACAGAGCTGCCCTGGACGTAGTTCTCTGGAGTGTGATGGGAGCTATCAAGCTCTGTGGCCGAAGAGAAAAAAAAATACCATAACTGATGCCAAAATCAGGTATATGTGAAAAGGCCCATTGACTGAGTCAGGGGTCCCAAAGGCCACATGTGGCCTATTCCCATCTTAAATAGTATACTGGCATGTTTAAACAGGACAACCATATATTATTCTAATGCATATAACTCTTGTTGAATAAAAATAAAACATAGAGACCTTTGGAAAAACCTTGGCAAACTGTTTCCAAGCAGAATATTTTTGTTTGTTTTAGCTTGTGCGAGCGAGGGCAGCCAGGGCAGCAGTGGCGGCAGAAGCAGGAGCCTGGCCACCTCTTCCAGGCTCCTGCTTCTGCCGCTGCTTCTGCCTTTGCGCTTCTCCCTCCCTTGCTTGCTCACCCACCCTCCCTCAATCATTCGCTACTCACTGGGCCATGTTCTGGTGGCAGAACCAGTGAGTAGCGAGTGAGAGAGGGAGGATAGGTGGGTAAGCGAGGGAGGGAGGGCGGAGGGCCTTAAAGGCAGAAGCAGAGGCAGAAGCAAGAGCCTGGAAGAGGCAGCCAGGCTCCTGCTCCTGCCACTGCTTCTGCCTTTGTGGCCCTCACTCACTCACTTGCCCACCCTCCCATGCTCGCTCTCTACTCACCAGACCATGTCCCGGTGGCAGAACCAGGACTTGGCCCAGTGAGTAGCAAGGAAGGAAAATGGTGAAACAGCAGGTCCGCAAAAAGCAAATCATGAAATAGTGAGGGAACACTGTATAATGCATTGAACTGGATTATATGAGTCTACACTGCTATATAATGCAGTTTAATGTCATTCAACTGCATTCTGAAACTACATTAAATGGCAGTGTAGATGGAGCCTGATAGCATATACTACTCAATTTAGCCTTGCTTATATGTAGGGATACCATAATTTCTTGTAGTTGATGTTTGCCAACCATGTCTTATTTCAAGGCTAAGGAGCCTGAGGCCATCCAGATCTTTAAAAACTATAAAGTATCATTGTTATACACCACTGGCCAGGCTGACACAGCTTGAGAATGAATGAAATCCAATCATATCGACAGCCAGTTTCTCCAGCCCTGCCTTATACTGATTTTGGTTGCAGTCTCTACACATTTCTGGACTTTAGCCCATTGAATTCAATATACTGCATAGATATTGTATAGATTATGGAACATTTGTAGCAAACACTTTTTAGATGGGTCTACTTTTAATAATGTTTGCCTTTTTGTTTTCTTTCTCCTTTGAAAAACAGAATCTATTAATGCAATAGTGAACAATGACCTTTGAGATTTCTTTGAACTTCAAGCGTAGCTTAGCATAAAATGTGTCTGACAAAGACTTTGCCTTGATGCAGCACTTTCCAGTTACCACAGAGAAGCAAAAGGTTGTTAATATTTAGTTGGGTCTTTTTTCCAACAAAGATGTACCAAACTTTGATGATCATGGAATTATTGACTAGAAATTGCATCTGCAAACAACACTAGCTAAAGTGTATAAAAACTTCAGCAAATTTTATTTATGCATTTATTTAATCATCCATTTGTTTATTCATGCATGCTTTTAGTGAATCCCTTTCAGTGCCCACGTGGAGGGGTAAAATGCTAATCATACAGTAATGAATTAATGTTCTACCTTAAAAGTATTCCAACATGTGGTCCATCATTTAAATATTTGTCAAAAATGAACTTTAAAAACAAGTACTGTCAAGTGTACACATAAAACCTATTATATCTGACTTTCCAACATTTTTCAATGCTTATTGCAAATCTGATAATCTGATTATAAGGATTGTAAGGTATTTATTATTTTGTCAAGTTCTATTAAATGATTTAGATTCTTGGAATAAGTCTATCCCACTATACACACAAGGAAAAAACAAAAGGGATTCTGGACCACCAACATCAATGTAGATTTGAGTCATTCTGCTGACAAGAGTGGGATGTGAATTTTCTGAGCCTCCTGACCTACTCATTACAAGCAATATTACAATCTCTAATAGTGCAAAAATGTGTGCTATAATATTCAAGATTTCAGAGCTGATTGTAGGCAACTTTGAAATTGTGTCATTTTCTGTCATCTATACCATCAACCTCCAATTCACCTGTGCAAAGGGCATTTTAGATAGCCCCACACAGCAGCAGAAAATAGAAAATAATGGGTTGTTATGGGTTTTTTTGGATGCGTGCCACAGATGCAGGCAAAACATCAGGAGAGAATACTTCTAGAACATGGACACATAGCCTGAAAAACCTACAACAACCCAGTGATTCTGGCCATGAAAGCCTTCGATAATACATAGGAAATAATGTTTATAATAATTATCATTATCAGTTGAATTCTGTTCCAGTGATAGAAGACAATGTCAAAATTACTTACAGTTCTTTGCATAAGCAATGGTGCTTCAGAGCAACTTATCCCTTCATCATTAAAATTTGATTCCATGTTGATTATGTCATCAATAACATCTTCCATCTAATAAAACAAGAATTATCAGTGTGCAGTTAAAAGAGGAGCTCACTGTTTAATCCAGTACGTATCCACCCAGAAATAAATCCCACTGAGTTCAACAGGGAATTACTCCCAAATAACAAGGTCTGTAACCAACCATTTTATCAGCATTCACAACAAAATTACAATGCATTTCCTTTTGTAAACACAGGTCGAAACTACTTGGAAGCAGGATTATATAGGAACTGTAAATTCTTTGAAAAAAAAAACAGGATATCTGAAAATGTGTGTGCATTTGTTTTTTTAAAACAACTTACTAATTTGGGGAAATATTTTCATAAATGTCCACTTTTTCTGTTTACTTTGTGGAATGATTACAAAAATATTAAAATTGTATTTTGTTGATCTTTCTCTGAGTCAATAATTTTCATGTTAAGCTGTAGCTGAGTGATTTGATAGTATAGTGATTTTTAAAATACCATTCTTTAATGATCCCTGATTAGCTGAAAGTACACACACAATTAATCCAGGAAATATTTTTCTCCATATGAATTGATGGTTTTTGCCCTCATAGACATCATACTGCCAAAAGTGTTGGTCACATAATATCACATACTATCCATTTATTATTTGATCCCTCACCAGCTAGGATCATCCACATATTGAATTCCAGAATGAGGAAATGCAATAACAAGAAACCAAAATAGTGCAAGAGTAGAAGAAAAATAATTAATGCAAGAACTGAAAAACCAAATATCCTTATAATCAACACATGTTGGGGAAACAGTTCTATCCTTCCAAAATTATTATTTTCAGCCTACAAACTGAGACAAGAGAATATTGACCATTGTGTTATAACTGAAACAGCTTCAAACAGTGGCAAGGGATATTTTCAATGGCAGATAGAACTATAATAAGCCTAAAAATGCAGGTGACCAAACATACCTCGGATATTTTTCTTCACATTCTGAAATTACTTCCTGATTGGAATAGGAAATATTTCTAGTGACAGTCAGAAATATGTTTATTTTTGCATAATATGATTATGTACTATGCACAGAAGCTAAGTTATATATCAACACTTCATCTCTTATTCTTTAAAGAAAGAGGGACCTACGAGTTTCAGTTAATAAAGTTTTCCCCAAAAAGTCTTTCATCCAACAAAAAAGTCTATGTATAAGTGTATAAATTGAAGATGATTGTTTTGTTGCCATTAGAGTAGACAACGGTGGAATAACCTGAAGCTTCATACTCTCCCTCAACAGGTATCATTTAGCTAACATTATATGTATTTAGCTGCATGCTGAAAACTCCCTCCCCCCCCCCCCCATCTCCATCTTATTAGACAACACTCATAAGGTCTTAGTTTATCTTACAACTACATTCCATACCGCATTTTCATGTTCTCCTCCAAGAGTTAGTAACTTCATCACTGGGCTTCCAGGAGTGCTGATATCGCTGGTAGGAGGCATATGCCCACTTCTTAATATAGGTGTTGCCCCTGAAGAATGGATTGAATGGGATAGAGACAAAGTTTGGCTAGACAGCTTCGTATCCAGGGTAAGGTACTGCTTCACTTGATGTCTCTGAGTTTGTTGAATGTGATACCTTGTTGGGTTCTCCAAATGAGTCTGGACCTATAAAGGCAAGGAAGTCACAAATTGCTTGTTCGCTTATAGTATGCATTTCCTTCAAGGGGTTCAAGACAGTGTATATGGTCCTTCTTCACATTTTTATATTCATAATCCCTTGAGATAGGTTAGGCTAATGTGACTGGATCAGTGCTATCCAGTAAAATTAGCCAAACAAAGCTCTAACCCATTCCATGTCTCCTTCACTACATCATATTCTTTCTCTTATGCTTATTTCAGCTTTTGATATGCATGTTTGTTTAACTCTCAGATCATATATTCTAACTGATACGATCCATAGGACATCTTTTCAGTCAGAATCTATACTTACTCAGGGCCGTAATTTAAGTACAGGCATACTGGCTTGACTGAATAGTAATATCATTGTCATCCCAATTTAAATTAACAGAACTATCCTTATAACCAGATAATTTTAGCATTTCAAATCATTCAGTTCTCCCTGGCTTATAAATTGATTATTTCTCTCACATCATCATTTTTCTACCAATGTAAATATATATTTAGGAAGGAATACTATTCATATGCATGATACTATCCAGAAAATACAGGAATTTCTGTGCATCCTTTTTCAAAGCCATGCTTAAGCCAAACTTTCTTTTCCTTTGTGGGTTCACATATATATGGATGCTAACAATTAAAACATTACAACATAAATATGTTCAGTACATAAAAACTACCTTATCACTTTTGTACAGAAAACCATTTGAAACCAATGGCTAGTCAGCACCAGGAAAGCAGTATTTTTCATAGCTTACCTGATAGTAAGAACAATCAGTCAAATGAGGCATTTTAGGATCAGTACTATCAAATAATCCCATAAAATCGTGTTAGATTATCACTGAGCAATCTCAAGCAATGCAGAATTCTCAGTGTCCCTGGTATGGACTGACAACATTTTCATGCAGCCTGGGAGTCTTTATAAATTAAGTGGTCATGCCCACAACAGCTAATTGTGTAAAACTAGAGCACACTAACTGCCACAACTTCAAACAACTCTCATCTCTGATCTTTGCCACATTCCTACAATTTATCCACTACAGGGATACTGAGTACACAAATATGTACTGTCACATTCACCCTCTGGCTTTCTTGCAATATCGTACTATGACTAATGACTAATTTCTTCTAATAGGTTTCCGTCAAATGGATTTTAAGATTTAAATAATAGTGAAGCTTTTGTTCAGCACTTGCTATGTTGCTGTTGTTTTAATCCTGCTTCTCTCTTATAAATCAAAACAAATGGACTTCTATTATCCACTTTTTGATATATAAACAGTACAACCTGTACCTGCAAGGGATACATTTCAAGACACCAGAGAGAGAGAGAGAGAGAGAGTAGGGAGAGAGGGATACCTGAATTTCTGAATAAAAGCAAATGCTATATTTCAACTATAATTGGGCTGGAAGTATCACATTGGATGACCCACAGAGGCCACAAAAATGTCCAGGGAGGGGACTATTTTTGGGAGGGATGAAGCCGTGGATATCAAATCCATGGAAAAGGGGGTCATATTGTAAACTATTTTAAAATTACATATAATATATAATTCTATTCCCATTCTAAATTACTATAAATTATTCTAACTGGTAAATTTTCCAGAATAATTGATTAATAGGATTAGTTTTGTATTGAGCCCTTCAGATACTAAAATTGCAATAGAACTGCTGTCATCACAGTACATCCAGTACGTAGTTCATTTTATTCTTCTTTTTACAAGCTAGCTTTTTATAAAACAAATATTGTTGTTTTAATGTCCCTCCAAGTCAGTTCCAATTTATGGCAACCCTAAGGCATATCTATCACATGTTTTATTTGTTTTTGGCAAGATTTCTTCAGAGGAGGTTTACCTTTGCCTTCCTCTGAAGTTGACAGTGTGAGTTCCATGGATTAAACCCTGGTCCCCATCCTACAAGTGTTTCACCTCAGTTCAGGGACAAATGTAGATCAACTTCTGGCAGGGCTCAGTTCAAAGATGATGTAGATCAACTTCCGGCAGGGCTCCATCTCTGAATTGTGATACTCTCATAAGAAGGAGCAAAAAAAACACAGGAGGCTTCCTCACGCCCGATGCCAGATTTGTCACAATCCATGGCAAATTCCCCACTATTGCCCAGCTTACTGACCTCAATGTGATGAGGTCCATAGTCCAATACTTAAACCACCACACTATGCTATGTTGTTAAACGAATAACACTGCAATAAACTCAGTGACAGCTGAAGTAGCTTTAAGATGTTACACAGATTAATCGTCCTCAAAGTTACCTTCAATTCTGTTTCCGGATGCTTTCCTGAATGGAACTTAAATGGGCTTAGCTTTGGAAGGATCATGGCCCTACAATGACTGTTAAACAAACAACTTTAGTGTTCAAGCACAACAGCCCAAGTACCAGGATTATTTAATTGAATGTAAGTATTTAAACTGAGAGGAGGGGAAGATCATATCCTATAAGGGGAAATGTAATATTAAACTCTGATTAAATTTTTGGCACTGGTCATGCCTGCATGTCCGATTTAGAGAATGAACATGGGTTTTCCACCACCAAAGCTTTCAGGGAGGAGGAGGCACAAGGTGGTAAGCAGAATTCTGGGAAATGTAATTTTGGAAGGTGAGGACCCCTGTGGCAGAGAATTCAAAAGGTCCCACCCTAAACTACATTTCCCATAATTTTGTTCGCTTCCTTCATTAAAGCCTCAATGTGCGTGTGGTCTCTGCCTGTCTCTATCTGGTCCATGTTCTGGAGGGGCTTCTTCTTTGCACAGTCAACCAGCCAAGTATCCCTCCCTCCCTCACTGCCCCATTTGGGGAAAGAGTGGGGTTTCTCCCTCCACTCTGGCTTCCCCAATTTTCCTCAGGCCCCCTTGGGGAAACTAAACCCAGCCCTTTTGGTGGAGAAGCAGTGCCCACAATGGAGACCTGGAGGCATTTACAAGACTTACATAACTCTTCTGAAAGTCATAGGCTAGTGTTTTGAATCTTTTTGTGTGTGTGTGGCCACCCCTCAAATTTCTTAATATCTTTTCATATGTACGAATGCGATAAACGAATTACAAACAAAGCTTTACACAGCCTAATACACACAGAGAGAGCTGGAGCTACACTTAAAAATTTACCTGTTCCAACTTACATAAAAATTCAGTTTAAGAACAAACCTACAGAACCTATTGTGTTCATAACTTAGGGACTGCCTGTACTTTGTTGTATTGCTATGAAGATGCAACAGAAGCCAATTACAAATTAAAATGAAAGAAACTTTTAATGCAATCATTTTTACTGCTTGTCCAGAAAGGGTTCAGCAATAAATTGGATGGAGTTGAGATATATGGTCAGTGTTCTTTTGGTTAATGTATTAATTCCTAGAAAGCAGGGAAAGACAGGAAATGAGAATAGAGAATTCTGTAGGTCTGACTGAAAAATTCAGAGCAGCTATACATGGCTCATCTGTACTTAGAGAGACAAGGAGCTATTTCGCTTTTTAAAAATGCTGACTTAGTAAGTTCTGAAAACAAATGGAAGCTAAAAGAGTGGGAAAACATGGAGAAGAGGATGTAATGGCCATTAATTCCATTGTTCATATTTGGATATTGAAAGTCGACTGTAAGAATTTTTGAACCATTTAGCCAGAACATCTACACCTCCTTATTCTGGGCACTGTAGGCCACAAAAGTAGCTATTTCCAAGCTTTTCACTTACCAGTGCATGATCAAGCATTTTCTTTTCTTACTTTGTTGTGGCAATGTGGGACCTGCTGTGATAGCTGTTTAGATTCTAATGGAGAAGATATCGGCACTTTAAACTTTGCATATGTCGCACTTCAAGCCCCAAAGAAATAAATTGTTCTGCCCTTTATGTGAGAATTAAATTAAATGTTGTCACCACATCATTTCGCATGACCAGACTGTAAATATTGTAGCTGATCTTTAAATGCTTGGTAGCTTTTTTTCCCCCTTGAATCTTCATTCTCAAGATAGAAATCCCTTTATACTCCAGTATGGAGACCCATTACAAAAGAATATGTATTGCCCAGAAGAAATGTTACTGTGTCAGGATGCTTTGATGTTAAAACAAAACACTCATGTGACATTAAATTTAGTCTTTTGCATTAACCTTTTGACATTGTACTCTTCAACATCATTTGAACAAAGGGGAGCAAACTGAAGAAACAACTATTTTCATGGCCCCACTCTATTTTTTACTGCATGGGCCATTCAAAACTTATCATTCAGCTGTCTGTTTTAGAGCCAACATGTTAAAAATAGTTCTCGCATCTGTATGTGTGTGTGTGCATGTGTGTGTGTAAAATTCCTTCTGTATCATAGCTGTCAAGCATTATTAAACCTTCTTGTATCGTAGCTGAAGAGGAGCTATCTTTAGACCTTGAAATCTTTATAATGCTGCACAGAAAACCATTAAGCCAGTACAAAAACCAGGGTGCTGTTATGAATAAAATCTTGGATCTGGGGTTCAGGTCTCTAATTAAGTATTGGAGCTCACTGCATTGCCATGGGTAGCCATACCTCCTTCACTAATTCGTTCATTCCAAGTATTTGACATGGGCCCCTCAAACCTTGAGCCTTATTAATTATGTAAAAAAGAATAAAGCATTTAAAATATAAAGACAAAAATGTAAACAGAAACATAAAACAAACAACTATATTTTCTATAAATCAGCTGTTGGGGCAAACATTTGCCTTACACCAAAAAGACAGCCATCAAGGTCTTGTCTACACAAGCCAATGTTAGGGAACACTCTGGAGAAACCTGTGGCTACATGATAGTCTGAAGACCTAGATCTGGGTCGATTCAGCCCAATCTATTGCCCAGATGGGACACCGGCTCCATGATCCCCATCAGTATAGGCTAAAGGGATGGATTGCAACTTTTAACTGCCATGCAGTTCCAAGAGTTTTTTATGTTTTTATGGCTTTGTGTGGCTTTATATTATACGCTAAATGTTTTAATTGTATTTATATCTGTTTTAATTGTATTTTATAATTGTGGAGGCATCAAATTGTTGCCGACTGTGGACCGTCCTGAGTTGCCTCCAGGCTGAGAAGGGCGGTATATAAATGTGGTAAATAAATAAATACATAAATAAAAGAGCTCCTGGCCATTATGCTTATATCAGAATTGGACACTGGCATGACCAGGAGAAAGATTTTTCAAGTGCTCCATTCTGACATTGGCAAAGTCACCCACAATCCTACCAATCTCCTCTTCCTTCTTCCAGGTTGAGCACCCCCCTCTGCAAATGTGAGAACAGATCATAGGTGTGTTCAGAAAGAAGGAGGATCATGGACAACTTGGAACAGCAGTGGCAACACAGAGAAGATAAGGTACACCTCAACCCAGAGGAGCAACTGAATTTCCCAGACATGTAAACAACAGTCCTTGATTCTACATGTAAACGTATACACAAGGCTAAACTGAAAACGCCATGTGAGGTGATTGCTCACAGTGGTTGAAAGGGGAATTAATTTCATTTGGTCCATGTAGACATGCAGACCTGTTGCCCCATGCCCTGCACTGCCCTGGTCTCCTCCTACCTCCTCACACAAGGGACTTGTCAAGCAACTGATTTGACCAGTAGATTTCTATGGAAAGACAATATGCCTCCAATCTTTCTATGGTGTCAGGAGGGTTTTGTTTGTTTTGTTGTTTGTTTGTTTTTTTTGCAGTTTTGCAGTTTTGCCATGGAGCTGCCCTGGATGGGAGCCAGTGATCTCCATGGCAAAACTGCTAAAAACCCTCACTGCTACCAGAAATTCTCTGGACGTGTAAGCAACAGCCCTGGATTCTGCATGAGCACATATACACCAAGCTAAACTGAGAGTACCATACAATTGCTCACAGTGGTTGAAAAGTGAATTCATGTTATTTG